TATATATATATATATATATATATATATATATATATCTCAGAAAGTCAACAACTTAGAGAATTCATTATAAGCTGTAAAGGAAATGCCAAAGGAAGTTCTCCAGACTGAAGAAAAATGATCCCAAATAAAAATTCAGATCTTCAGGAAGAAATAGAGATTAACAAGAGTAAATTGATGAGCACATGTAAAATACTATCTTTGTTGACTTCTTTTAAAATGTATGAATGGTTTAAGGCAGAACTATAATAAAGTATTGTTGGGCTTATAACATATGCAGAATTAAAATAAATGACAACAATAGCACGAATGAGGGGTAAATGGGACTATATCGTAGTAGAATTTCATTTTCTGTAAAGCAGTATAACATTAATTTAAGGAACACTGTGATAAACTTAAAATGCATATGATAATGCAACTGCTAAAAGATATACAGGAGATATACTTTAAAAGCCAACAAATGGGACAAAATGGAATACTAAAAATTACTTGACTTATTCAAAAGAAGATATAAAAGGTGAAGCAAAAGCAACAAAAATATGGGACAAAGAGACTCAAAAACAGCAAGACAGTAGACTTGTAGCCAATCATTTCAGTTACCACATTACAGTCAATGGACTAAACATAGTATCTAAAAGGCAGAGATTGTCAGACTGGATTAAAAATGAAAAGTAAGATCCAACTATATGCTGTTTACAAAAGATACCCTTTCTAAAGGCACAGAGAGATGGAAAGGAAAAAGACTTTTTTAAAGATATATTATGAAAAACACTCATCCCAAGAAAGCTGGAGTGGCTTTTAATATCAGACAAAGTAGACCTAAAGGCAAGGAGCATTTAAAAACCAGATAGCAAGAACATTTAATAATGATGAAACAGTTCATCCTGAGGACATAACAATCCCCACCCAGCTTTCCCTATCAGCTAGACCACTGCACTCCACCTGGTTCTCAACCGCGGTGGAAAATGAAGGAGAACACGTTAAAGATGGAGGCACTCCTGCTCTCCAGGATTTAGACTGTGTCAGCAGAAATGCAAATAGACCAGGTCAGCAAGGATTCGCAAGGCTTAACTGCAAAACAGACTTCCTATTGAGTCACCTAGGAGATGGGGAGGTGTGAGAGGGGCTTACAGCTGGCTAAAACGTATATAAGACATGCTTGTAGACAATAAAGTTGCTTAGTGCATACACTAAGCCCCAGAACTTTGTGTCTGGTTTCTGGTTGCCCACCTCCCTAGGCAGCAGCCCCTAGCTCAAGGCGTGCCCTGAGCAACTCACCTCGCTGCACTCTCTTGGCAGGGCTGCATGCGGCCCTGCTCCCTGGGGGACTCCTGGCAGAGGCTATGTGTAGTCCTGCCTCCTGAGACCCCCAGGACCAAGAGAAAAGTGCACAACCTAAAGGGTTTCACTTGCCTTCCAGGTTGTGAATTATTCAAACAAGTGATTCATATCCTCCCATGGGAACAAGAGGGTAACTCATCCACCTGCTACTAAAAAGCCTGCCTCCCATGGCCCCTACTGGTTCATTCTGCTCTTGAATGCAACTCAAATGTGGTGTTGGATGGTGTGTCGTGTCCTCTCCTGGGTTGTGAGTATCTGCAACTCATAAATTTCTGTCAATTATTTAGCCAGTGTCAGGTGTCTTATGTTTGGCTTTCTCATATACTATTTAGGGCACAGAATCCTTTCATCACTAACAAGGTGATCAAAACACTGAACAGGTGATCAACAAGTTATCAGAAGTGTGTTTGCTATAAATAGAGAAGCCATATAATTATCTTCAAAGAAACACTTCTGCCTTGCATTTTCCAGAAAATAATTTTACCCTAATTTTTGCAAAATAATTCAGAAATTATAAAACAGGTAAGTTCTCTGTACAGTACAATTTGATTGACTACGATGTTGCCCTAATTTACCAATTTTATATATTTTAGAAATCTGCATACAGCATAGAATGTTGACATATTAATTATAGTTGATTCTATACACCCACAAAGTTCAGCAGAACTCTTTGTAAAGGGCTAGATACTATTTTAGGCTTTGCAGACCTGTTATTAACTTAATCGTGTTCCTCCCAAATTCATATGTTTGAAGATAGGTCCTTTAAAGAGGTAATTAAGGTTAAATGAGGTCATAAGGGTGGGCCCATATCTGATAAAACTGCTGACCTTTGTAAGAAGAGAAAGAGACACCAGGGGTGTGTGTGCACAGAAGAAAGGCCATCTAAGGACACAATGAGAACGCAGCCATCTTCAAGCCAAGGGGTGAGACTTAAGGAGAAACCTAACCTGCCAACACCTTGATCTTGAACTTCTAGGCTCCAGAACTGTAAAAAAAATAAATTTCTGTTGCTTAAGCCATCCAGTATGTGGTATTTTGTTACAGCAGCCCCGGAAAGTTAATACAGGCTGTGCAATATCTATCACAACTACCCAACTCTGCCTTTATAGAGTGAAAGCAGCCGTAGACAATATACGAACAAATGGATGTGACTGTTCCAATAAAACTTTAGAAAAACAGGTGGCAGGCTGGATATTATGGTCATGGGCCATAGTTTGCTGACCCCTGATCTACAGTATTTAAAGCTATGTCTATATGAAGTGGGGATCATATGTTGAATGTGAGCCTCACTTCCTCATATATAACATAGTTTATAGATTCAACAGACACTATTTCTACACCTTTTCTAGAAACTTAATATGATGTATAAAAAGATCTAACTTTCATGTATGACTTCATGATTTTTAAAATGTTATTTATAAGGTTCTCCTCAGTGTTTTTTTTTTTTTACTTTTAGTAAGAGACGACATTATACCAAAACACTTCACATATTTATTACATTCATAATTTTCTTCATGATGAGTGTATTATATTGAATACATACATATGACAAATGAAAAATTTCCCACAATTATAGGGTTTCTCTCTGATTAATTAATTAATTGGGGGAGAGGGGGACTGGCTAGTACAGGGATCCAAACCCATGACCTTAGTGTTATAAGGCTGCACTCTAACCAACTGAGCTAACCGGCCAGCCTGGCATATCATTAAGGTTTCTTTCTCTTGTGAATCCTCTGATGTTGAGCAAGGTATGCATTTACAGTGAAGGCCTTTCCACATTCTTTACATTGATAGGGTTTTTCTCCAGTGTGCATCCTCTGATGTTGAATCAGATATGCACTCTGACCAAAGCTTTTCCCACACTCATTACACTTGTAGGGCTTCTCTTCAGCATGAGTTCTCTGATGTTGATTAAGGTGTGTACTTCTGCTGAAAGATTTGCCACATTTTTTGCATTTATAGGGTTTCTCTCCAGTGTGAATTCTCTGGTGCTGAGTAAGGTGTGTATTCCATCGGAAAGCTTTTCCACATTCATTACATTGAAAAGGTTTTTCTCCAGTATGAATCCGCTTATGTTGAATAAGGGATGACCTATGACTATAGGCCTTGCCACATTCAGTACATTCATAGGGCTTCTCTCCAGTATGTGTTCTCAGATGTAAAGTAAGCTGAATGCTCTGGGTAAAGGCTTTCCCACACTCTTTACATTCAAAGGGTTTTTCTCCAGTATGAATCCTCTTATGTTGCATTAGGGATGAACTATGACTATAGGTTTTACCACATTCAGTACATTCATAAGGTTTCTCTCCAGAATGAGTTCGTAGATGTAGCGTAAGTTGAATGCTCTGAATAAAGGCTTTGCCACACTGATTACATTCATAGGGTTTCTCCCCAGTATGAGTTTTCTGATGCAGAGAAAGATGTGAACTTTGGCTAAAGGCCTTCCCACACTGATGACATTCATAAGGTTTCTCCCCTGTATGAATCCTCTGATGCTGTGTGAGGCATGTACTTTGACTGAAAGCTTTCCCACATTTACTACACTCATAGCGTTTTTCTCCAGTATGAATTCTCTGATGCAAAATAAGGGATGAGTCCCAGCTGAACGATTTTCCACATACATTACATTCATATGGTCTCTCTCCTGTGTGACATCTTTCATGTTGAATAAGGTGTGTTCCCCTGCTGAAAGATTTCCCACAATTTCTGCATCTGAAGGGTTTTTCCCTAGTTCCAAACTTCTGAAATCTAATAAGATCCAGATCATCTCCAGAATGAGTACTCTGGTGTCGAGTGAGAGCCAAACCACAGCTAAAGTATTTCCCACATCTATCACATTTGTATGGGTTTTTGCTCATGTATGTACTCTGATGATTACTTAGATCTAGGTTATGTGAAAAGCTATTGTCATCACTGTCATCTTTAGGAACTATTTTCTCTGAAAGAAATTTGTTTTGAGTAGCAAAGTTTGATTGCAATCTAAACTCTTCCTCAAATCCATTATATTCATGAATGTTCTCCTGAGTCAGGCTTGTCTTCTGGGTAAACGCTATTTGCCCTAGACTGTTCTCAGATTGTATGTGGCCCACAGATTCTGGGGCTTCTCTTGTGGAGGAACAGATTCCATTCCTTTTACCTTTGTTGATTATCATTCCTTGGGAACATTCTTTAGAAATTACTTTCTTAAGATTTGACTCTTTAGTCCCAGATCTGGTCTCTCGATCTGAAATAAATTCAAAAGGGAGAATATTAGACTATTTAGAGAGAGAAAAAGCCACATATAATATGTTACTATTACTTTTATTCTTTGATTTCCCAGACAGAGGTATGTGGCTTTGATTGATTTCAAATATGTCAGGTAAGCCAGGAGCCACTGTGACACACGAGCAAGGAGGAAGGGAACAAGGGCAGACGGACTAGTGGTTTAGAGGTGCTGATAATTAAGTAAGTGAGGATTGCCTTTCTGGAATGATGGAAGGGTGAAAAATGGGCCTCTGAGAATGGACAAGTGGATGGTGTTAAGGGGAACCACAGGAATAAGAACTAGGACAGGAAAAGGACATAAACTAGACTCCCCACATGCCCAGATTACTGTGAAGTGTCATCACTAATCTCTCAGCATACAACCTCTTTACCTATTTGTCCATCTTGTAAGCTGAATTGGTGTTAATTTCCTGAAACACCAATTTACCAGGTGTTTACCAAGGACAGTCCCAATCTGCCCATTCTGCTGCTATCATAGGCAACCTGCAATCACTGTTGAATCAACCAGGGGGCAAGACCTACACCTCATGGAGTCATCAGGTGATGGGCAGAAGGGGCACATGAGTAAGGCACCAATGAGAAGGCATGTGAGTGAGATTCTAAAAACCCAGCAACTTTAACTGGGGAGTGACCATAGAAAGTCTTGCTGAGACAAAGTGGCAGGAAGCAGAGATTCACAGTGTGGGTTCTAGCAGGTGGTGGCCATGGTTACAAGGACATTTTTAGTAGAGTTGCCTAATGGCAGCATTCAACGTGGATTAAGAGAAGACAGAAGGCACATAGTTAAGCACATCTCAGGTTGATATTCAGATTATGTGACCTCCAGAAAGACTCTGGGAAGAGCCATGGTAGCCTCTGTGCCTTTCCTGAATCAACACAGTCCCTAACACCAGCAAGAACCAGATTAATGTGTTACCCTATTATTAAGGGCAGGATGGAAGAACCAGAACAAGCACTCTCTACTAATGGAGTCCAGTCATTATAGCACCAGGAGAAGGAGACAGTTTTAAGTACAAAGCTCTTCTCGGCACCATTTATAACACCCCCCCTCACCTGCTCTTTCTCTGCAGGGGTGTGGCTGCCTGTTGGTTTCACATTCCATCATTTCTCAATTTCTTGGATATAGTAGCAAAAAAATCCATTTTAAGCAGAAAGGGGGTGCAGGCCTTAGCATTTTGGCTTTACAACAGAGTAAAGGAGAGAGCTGGAAAGAGGGGATCACAGCAATACCTGAGCTCTACTGTACAGAGGTAATGATAGAGCCAAAAGGTGCTGGGGGAGTTGCCATGTGCAATAATTAGGCTCTGGTGTCTGGGGCCAATGGCTATGGGGCACTGGCTAGTCTGAAAATTCCTCCCCTGCAGATTTCGGCTCAGTGCCTTTTCCACCCAATCTTTCTTGAAAGTTGCCTTGAACATTTGCTGCTGTGAGGGACATTCTTTCCTTGGATGCTGACTGCCAAATAAAATAGCAACTCCCAATGGGAGGAATAACTAAAGAAAAGAAAGAGAGAAGACAGAAGGAATGGAAAAAATCTTTTCCCACTGCATGTGATGACAGGATTTTATCAGAACCAGGAGACAGGGCCGGCCCGGTGGCGCACTGCGCTAGTGCGCTGCTTGGGAAGCGCGGCGGCGCTCCTGTCGAGGGTTCGGATCCCACATGCAGACCGGTTCCTGCTCACTGGCTGAGCGAGGTGCGGGTGCAGCACCGAGGGTTGCGATCCCGTTGCCGGTCCCCGGTCCGGTACGGGGGCAACACTGAGGGTTGCAAACCGTTGCCGGACACGGAAAAAGACAAAAAAAAAAAAAAAAATAAAGAAAAGAAAGAGAGAAGACAGAAGGAATGGAAAAAATCTTTTCCCACTGCATGTGATGACAGGATTTTATCAGAACCAGGAGACAGGGCCGGCCCGGTGGCGCACTGCGCTAGTGCGCTGCTTGGGAAGCGCGGCGGCGCTCCTGTCGAGGGTTCGGATCCCACATGCAGACCGGTTCCTGCTCACTGGCTGAGCGAGGTGCGGGTGCAGCACCGAGGGTTGCGATCCCGTTGCCGGTCCCCGGTCCGGTACGGGGGCAACACTGAGGGTTGCAAACCGTTGCCGGACACAGAAAAAGAAAAAAAAAAAAAAAAAAGAACCAGGAGACAGGAGCCACAGGTACTGAGGGACAGAAGGGGTCAAATGACTAAAAGGTTTTGAGGCTAAATGTGAAGTGACAGCTGAGGATCCATGTGGAGATATAAGAGCAGAGGAGAAGGCAGGGTTGGAGAGCTGGGAGACAGAGGAGCCAGGGGTTTGGACCAGCAATTCTTCTGCACAGGTGGCCATTGGATCTGGTACTTGCTCCAAGAGTACGAAGGCGTACAGAGAAGAATGGAAGCTGACAGAAATGGGAGGCTAGGGAGGCGAATGAGTGATGTGTTGTATCAAGACACCGAGCAGGAAGAGGGCATGAGAAGGGAAGGAGCCACACTAAACTCAGGAAAATGAAGACTACAAAGTACCTGGGAACTGGACCAGACAAATGCTGTCTGCCTGGGGAAAGAACTGGGTAGAACAAAGCATGGGAGAGAGGCTGACAGTCCTAGGAACTGTCGAAGAAATGAGAGTAAGAGAAAGGGAGCTGAAAGCTGCGTGATGGGAAACTGATGGGCGTCCTTTAGAGAAGGAGGAAAGGCTGGCAGCACAGGGAGGGGTCTGCATCTGAGAGAAAGGAGGAGGGAATGAAGCACAGCCTAGGGGAGGCAGCTTGCAAAAGAGGGAGGGCTGACCCAGGAGCAGGGGCTGCACTGCAGAAGAGGAACAAAAGGAGCAAGAGGAGGGTCACGTGCAGGAAGTGGTACCAAGGGCGAGGCCAAGGCAGCTGCGTGATCCTGAGGCCAGCACTGATTTCCCCATGGAAAAGGGCTCCATGGCCAGCATTTCACTGAAACCGTGGGCCTGCTGGACAGCCATGTGTGTGAGTCTCCAGGACTCCTTCCTGACTATTTACCTGCAGAGAGGCCCCTAGGGATTGTCCTCCACACTATCCAGGGTGATCTGCCTTGCTCCAACTGGGAAATCACCTTGGGCTTGGGATCGTGGCACCCTGTTTGGAAAAGACAAGAAACTTAGGTGTATGGGCTGGGACAGATGTGAGCCTAGGGCCCTGACTCCATTCTGTGGCCCATGGGACCTTTATAGAATGAATGACAAGGAAGCCACAGGAACACCATGGGCCTCTGTTCCTGGAAGCAGGAGACTCTTTTTTTTCTTTTTTTTTAAAGATGACCGGTAAGGGGATCTTAACCCTTGACTTGGTGTTATCAGCACCACGCTCTCCCAAGTGAGCCATAGGCCGGCCCTGAAAGCAGAAGACTCTGACCTCTGAACATCAAAATACAGTTCTATGGACCAGAGGCCTCAGGGCCTCAGGATTCAGGCTGGATAGCTAGAGAAAAGCAAGCAGGTGCCTCACTTTCCAGCCCCTATTCATGGAGAAGGGTATACAGGCCTCCAAAGATCAGCGGGCAAATGTGCTTCTGCCAAATACAAAACTTCTACCCTGTGTTTGCTGCATCTTTTAAAATCATGCACATTTTCATTGAATCTAATATATCTGTTTATTTAATATAAAAATAACTACTTGCCAGTTAAATTACTTAACTTCTCCCGCTCTCCCCATAGGCTATGCAGACACCACAGGCAGATGGCACCCTGTGCCCTGACTCCCCCAGGGAGCCACCTTACCCAGGGAGGACAGGCTCCTGTAGTTCTCCAGCATCACTTCTCGGTACAGCATCCTCTGAGCAGTGCCCAGCTGTTCCCACTCCTCCTGGGTAAATTCCACAGCTACATCATGGAATGTCACTGTTTCCTAAGACATGACACACAACAGTGCTAGGCAGTAGGAAGGCCACAGAGTGTGGCCAAGGCTGTCCCCACAGGCAGAGAAAGGTATATTCAAAGACACCCAGTGACCTATATCATATTGAGCACAAAACATGAGTGACATTCTTGTTCAAGCAAGAACAGGACAATGACACTGGGTTTTGCTACTCTAGTATTCTCCTGGAAGTTCTTGTGAATGCAGTAAGACATTCTGATGGGTTATAACAGCTACAGGCACCGATTTTAAGAATCTCAGGGACATGATGTCAGGGAGAAAAAATGCAAAATGGTATATGAGTACATGAACTATGCATGTATTCAGTGCTGTGAACTGAATTATGCTCCTCCCCCAAAATTCTTATGTTGAAGGCCTAACCCCCAATGTGACTGTATTTGTACACAGAGTCTTTAGCAGGTAATTAAGGTTAAATGAGGTCAGAAGGGTGGGGCTCTAATCCAACAGGATTGGTATCCTTATAAGAAGAGGAAGAGACGCAGAGACCTCATTCTCTCTGTGTGCACACAAAGAGGCCATGTGAGGACACAGTGAGAAGGCAGCCATCTACAAACCGGGAAGAGAGGCATCAGGAGAAACCATCACAGGGCCGGCCCATGGCTCACTCGGGAGAGTGCGGTGCTGATAACACCAAGGCCCTGGGTTCGGATCCCATATAGGGATGGCCGGTTTGCTCGCTGGCTGAGCGTAGTGCTAACACCACCAAGTCAAGGGTTAAGATCCCCTTACTGGTCATCTTTTAAAAAAAAAAAAAGGAGAGGGGCCGGCCCGTTGGCGCACTGCTACAGTGCGCCGCTTGGGAGTGCGGTGGCGCTCCCGCCAAGGGTTCGGATCCCACATACAGACCGGTTCCCGCTCACTGGCTGAGCGAGGTGCGGGCCCAACACCGAGGGTTGTGATCCCGTTGCCGGTCCCGGTCCGGTATGGGCACGACACTGAGGGTTGCGATCCGTTGCCGGACATGAAAAAAGACAAAAAGGGAAAAAAAAAAATAAATAAATAAATAAAAGGAGAAACCAACACAGATGGCACCCTGATCTGGGACTTTCAGCCTCCAGAACTGTGAGAAAATAAACGTGTGTTTAAGCCACCTGGTCTGTGGTACTTTGTTATGGCAGCCCTAGCAAAGTAATACATTCAGAGTTCAAACATAAAAATTTCAACGATATATTGTTTAGGGATACATGTGGCAAAGTATAAAGAAAAGCAAGAAAAAAAATTCCTACGAATTCCAGGATGGAGGTTATATTTGAAGGAGAAGGGAGAGGGATAAGATAGTTAGGGACCCACTCTTTTGTAAGGTAGATAGTGGATAAAGAATAGTTCATCTCATTATTATTAGTTTACATTACATATATGGTACAAACCTTATTTGGTTTCAATATAACATGCAATACAATTATTAGAAAGAAATGTGATACAACTATTGAAAATCAGAAAGTATAAATTTATTCCAACTCAATGAGTAAATTAAACTCAATCCCAAACTAAATCTTCAGGAGATGTATGCCAGAGTGTGATTCTAAAATATCATGAAAATCACAAATATCATAAAAAATAAACAGATAATAGCATCTAGGTCAAGAAAGGATAGGAAATTGAGGATACCTGGCCCCACATAAAGATGGAGAGAGAGAACCATTCTATAAAGAATAACAGGAAACACACACTGGGCAAAGAGGTGGAAGAGCTCGATAGGGGTGGTGGTGACCGTACCCAGAACATCTGTTATGCTGAGAGCCAATCAGTGAAGCCACAAAGAGCCCTAGCTCATTGCCTGGCACCCGGCAAATGCTCAATCTGTTTTGGCTCATATTAACACTATAGTAGAATGGCATCGAAAAACAAGTGAAGTCTCTCTCTCTCTGCTCTCTCTGCTTCCACCATCTTGCAACGTAAGACCCTTGGGTCACTGTCGCCATCACCAGATAGACTTTAGACTTCCCAGCCTCAGAAACTGTGGTTTGGATCCAATCACATGCTTCTTCAGAAAAGGATTTTGCTACAAATAAGACAGCACTCTCTGAAGATCATCTTAACCTTAATGGAATGTATTTGGTTAAAGAAAAAACTAGTATAATTCAAATGAATTGATTTGTGAATATTAAAAACTGGTTTTTCACTGCTGGGAATACACCCAGAGGAATGGAAATCATCAAGTCGAAGGTATACCTGTTCCCCAATGTTCATCACAGCACTCTTTACAATAGCCAAGAGTTGGAACCAGCCCAAATGTCCATCATCGGATGAGTGGATACGGAAAATGTGGTATATCTACACAATGGAATACTACTCAGCTATAAAAACGAATGAAATACTGCCATTTGCAACAACATGGATGGACCTTGAGAGAATAATATTGAGTGAAACGAGTCAGGATGAGAAAAAGAAGTACCACATGTTCTCACTTATTGGTGGGAGCTAAAAAAATAAACAAATTAATTTACCCAAAAACACAC